AGGTACCACCCCCGGCTCCTGAGGCAGGCGATCTCACTCCCCTTCACAGGAGGGGAGTGGGACAGCACACCGATCTCCCATGAGGGCTGGAGCTGGCCATGGGGTCCCCACTGCCCTCTGCAGTCTGAAGTCTGGGTGGATGCTGGGCTGGCTGGGGGAGGGAGTGAGCATTCCTGTTCCTTGCAGCACCTGCAGGCCTGTGAGCCGGGGGTGTCTGCCCGGTGGCAGGTGGTGGACAAGCGCATCCCCCTGTACGCCAACCACAAGACCATCCTCCGGAAGGCGGCCACTCTCTTTGGGACTCACTACTGACCACAGACCCAGGCTGGGCAGCCCCATGGGGGGTCCCGCGGTGGCCTGGACTGCCATCTGCTGGTGACTGCACAGGAGTTGGCCGACTCTGGCTACCTGAGGCACATGCGGCCCTGGACCTGGGTACTGGAGGGGGCGCCACCTGGCACCTGCATGATGTGGTTCTGGTGATTCTGCTGCCCCTGTGCCCACCTCAAGTCAGCTGGCTGGACCAGCCTGTGCACAAGGTGTCCAGGCACCCCAAGAGAACAGCTCAAGCAGGTCTCTCAGAATTGAGGGGCCCTGGGACCCCATCAGCAATCGCCACCTCCCCCAGCCAGCTGGCAGCCAGTCAAGGGGCTGGGCCCCCTTGCAGCTGTGGCCCTCGGCAGAGCCCACTCCCATCTTGGTCACGTCATGAGCAGCATATCCACTCTGGAGGTGCATCAGCCCAAGGCTGTTTCCTGGAGAGTTGGGTCCTCTGCAGCCTCCTTAGGCCCATGTCTGGAGGACTTGGGGGCCAACCTGCTACACCACCGAGATGGTTTCCTCTAGCCAATGGGATCTAATGTGGACCCTCTCCCAGCCTGGGTGGGGGCACCGTGCGAACCCAGCTCACCACCCGTGTTGTAAGGGCCCCTTGATGGGGGGCAGGGGGCCCAGTCAAGCCCCGGCCTCTCCCAAAAGGCAGAGGGTTTCTGCTCCCTGTGCTGCCCAGGGATCCTTGGGGTGAGGCCGCAGAAGCAGACGCTGGGCTCTCCCTCCACCCCTTGGAGTCACAGGCAAGTGGGTGTGGATGGCGGGGCCTCCTGGTGTGGCCTCGGCACTCAGAAAAGCCATCAGGAGCTGTCAGGGCAGGGAATGCTGTAAAGACTCAAGATATTAGATCTGGGGTCTCATGCCAGCCTGTGCTCACCACAAATAAAGTTACTGGCATATCCAATGGTCTGGGGGCTGTGTGTGGGTCACCCAAACCTCTTGCAACCCATGAGTGAGCTTCCTGCCACCATGGGCATCCTGCGGGCCCCTCTAGGCCTGACTCACCATTTCCCCTCTGGCCACTCCCATCCCACCCACCCCTCTTCATCTCCTAAACCCATGCTCCAGCAGCACTCCTGAGACCTCCATGCCAGGGACTCAGGCATCCTCGAGCCCCCCTGCCCCGGCCTTCCCTCCATCCATGGTGCTGCTGGGCCCTGCAGGTGCTCCCGCATGGGGGCTCTAGACATGTCCCTTCACTGTGTCTTCAGAGCCCAGGGGCCAGGCTGGTAGCCAAGCACCACCTGCAGGCCACGTCTACCTACCCAGTCATGCCTGTCTTCTGCCTGACTGAAGCTCTTGGGCCACATCCCCATCCCCACGTACCCCCAGTCTCTTCTTACAAGGACTCTAGTCCTATTGGATCAGGGCCCCACCCTTCTGACCTCATTTAACTGAACTACTTTCTTAGAGGCCCATCTCCAAATACAGCCACATTGGGGGTAAGGGCTTCAGTATAGGAATGTGAGGGGGACACAAACATGCAGTCCATAGTGTGCACACACACACAAAGACCAAGCTCCGTGGTAAGGAGAGAAATCGCTGAAATGTACAGCTCAGTTTCATAATTGTTGAGGCACAACATAAAAACAGATTTAGTGACTAGAACCTTGAACCTTGACCAATGCACAACATGGTGATTGCAGCTGACAATGCTGGATTGTGTACTTGAAATTTGCTAAGAGTGGATCTCAGGTGTTCCCACCAAACACACAGACACACACACGCGCACACACACAGAAGGGCATGGTAACTGTACCATGATAGACATGTTGATTAGCATCATTGTGGTAATCAAATGTACACCTACATCAAAACATCAAGTTGTATGCCTAAAATATATACAATCCCTATTTGTCAACATCTCCCTAAAGTTGAATTTTTTAAAAAAATTAATAACAGCCTAGAATTAGAATCGCAGAGGGCCTTGCCTGGAGGTGCGGGGGAGGCTCAGCAGGCGGTGCTTGTCCTGCACTGGGAAGAAGTGGGCGCCGGCCAGATACGGTGCTGGAAGGACGAGGGCCCGAAACACAGGCAGGAAACATCAGGGTACCACAAAGAGGACAGAAATAGAGAAATAACTTTAAATTACTAGGGGAATTAAATTAGCAACAAAATGAAGGATGAAAAATTGTCAATAAAGAGTGGTTAATAGAAAATAAAAAGGTAGGAAATAGCCAAAATGTGTCAATAATTATAACACATTTAAGTGGAGATTCTCACATTGGGTTAAAAAAAAATTGTGCTATTTTCCGTATACAAAAGACTCACCAAAACAAAAGTGACATGTAATAGTTGAAAACATGGGAAGTCACACTAGGCAAATGGTCTCAAAGAGAAAGTGGGGAAACAGCAACAACAAGCCAGGACCTCAAGGCAGAACACTTTAATTGGATAAAGGTGCGAATCCATCAAGAAGATATCACTATCATGGACTATTATCTAACGTCATAGCTTTTTAAACACATGAGGGTACTTCAAAACTTTCACAGAAAGGATCATACTATCCTTATTTTAGTGGCTGGCCAGTGTGGGGATCCGAACCCTTGACCTTGGTGTCACCACCACTGCCCTCTAACCCAGTGAGCAACCAGCCAGCCCTTGTATTACCTCTTGATTCTACTTTTCCATGAACTTTTTGAAGTAACCTTGTATATGTACGTGTGTGTCTATATTTATATATGTACACATACATCTTTATATATCGTATTACCACATTATATGTGTAATTTATGTATAATATACATGAATACAGACATACACACGTACATTAACACATACATTGCATACATGAATATATGAACAAACATTCTGTAGTGTGTGTATCTGTGATTCTGCACCCACCCCAACAACCTCCCAACCGCAGGAAGGTCCTGAGGAGACTCATTTGTTTTCAAACATGAGCATTCACAAAAACTGAGCATGCATCACACTTTGGAGAAGGTCTCAACAAATTCCCAAAGGCAGATCCATCCTGTAGAACTGCCTCTCCACCACCACATTAGAACACGGAATGTGTAAAGTAAGATAGAACATGCATTCAGTGGTTCCAGGTGCCTGCACCGTCTTGGCATGCTTCAGATTGTGAGTGATCGGCCCCCCGGCCAGCCCAGGGACGATGCTGCTGACCAGCAGGGCGCTGCTTGGAGATGCAGCCCTCTGTGCCCTCTGTCCCCCCAGAGGGGCTTCTGTCCTCAACAGCAACCAGTACAGGAGGTATATTAGTCAGTTTTCTGGTGCTGATAGCAGAATACCTGAAACTGGGTAATTTACAAAGAAACAATTTATTTCTTACAGTTTTAGAGGTTAGAAAGTCTGAAGTCCAGGGGGTGCATTTGGTGAGGACCTTCTTTTTGGTGGGTGCTGTCTATGGGCAATGTGGCAATGTAGGGTGTCACATGGCGAGGGCTGAGCAAGAGTGTATCCACACGCTTCGTCCTCATAAAGCCCCCAGTCTATTCCCTGGTAACCCGTTAAACTGTCAGTGCATAACTCCGTGAATGGATTAATCCATTCACAAGGGCACGGTCCTCCTGACCCAATCACCTCTTCAAGGCCCCACCTTTCAAGTACTGTAGTGGATTGAATTATGTCCACCCCAAACTCACTGAAGCTTGAATTATGTCCTGCAAGTTTTATGTATTAGAAACTTGGTCCCCACTGTGTTAAGAGGGTGGGAAGCCCTATTATGGAAATTGAAAGGCATGGCCTTGAAGAGGTGATTGGATTGTAGGATCATGCCATAGTAAATGTATTAAAAATGGTGGCTGGGGCGTGGTTCTGAGGGCTTTAAAAAGACGGTGAATGAGGTGAATGAGGAGGTTACTCTTGCTGTCTCCGCTACACCGTTTTTGCAATGTGATACCCTGCGTCACTGTCACCAAGGCCATCACCAGCTGTGTTCCCTGGAATTTGGATTCCCAGCCTCTGAAACTGTAAGCAATACATTTCATTTTTTTACAAATCACCCAGTTCTGTGTATTTTGTTATAAGCAACAGAAACAGACTAATACAAATACCACACTGGGGCTTAAGCTCCTACATGAGCCTTGGAGGGGACACATGTTCAAACCATAGCAGAAGGTGTCACCTTCTGTTTCCCGGGCAGGAAGATCAACGGGGAGGGCAGGGCCTCTCCCAGAAGAGCAGCCTGCCTCTGTGACTCTTGGCCAGCTCTCACTCGGTCACAGGGAGATGGGGGAAGGCTCTGAGCTGGGCACACTGTCGTCACTAACAAGATGGGGATTTTCCACAGACAGCCAGAGGGGAGGCAGTGGCACCCTCCACGGAGGCATCTCCCCTCACACCTCCACCTCCGCTGTGACGCTATGCACGTTTGGGGCAAAGAACGTAGAAGTAAAAGGCCACGAGAGGATCATGTGCCGTGCTGTGGGGCATGGCCGAGGAGTCTCAGAGGAACAGCTACAGTGTTACATGCCCTTGTGTACTGAAATAGAAGGCCTAAGTTTATGACTCAAGAACTCAAAAAATAGCTACAAAATAAATGCGGAGGCTAAGGCAGGGGCAATGTCAGAATTTAATGAAATAGGAAAAAATAAAGAGGTGGTATGAAACATATTAAAAAATCAGTTCTTGGAAAAGATCAACAAAGACGACAGAACTTGGACAGCCTGGAACAAGGGAAGGCATGAGCGAGCTGGGGTGGGTGGCATATACAGGGAGAGCCCACAAAGGAGACGGGTCTGGACACCCAAGTGGGAAGCACTGTGCACGTGAGGGCACCCTTGTCCCTGGGAGTGGGCCGGGTCTTTGTCTCCCAGGGATGGAACCCAGGAAGCCTGGAGAGGGGAGGTGGTTTGGTTGTCTAAAAGGACTTTGGGGAAGGATGGTCTGGGCCCCAGCAGAGGGCTGGCTGCGTGGGCCTCACTAGGGGCCAGAGGGAACCACCCTGGGCCTTCCTTTCTGTTTTCCAGTCCAGTTGGCAAGGTGAGACAGAGAGATCCAGGAATTAAGGGAGCGCAGGAGAAGGCTCAGTCTGGCCAAGGCTTCTGAGGACCAGTTTGCTAGAAGGAGATTTGTGGCCTGTCAAAGCTCTCTGGAGAGTGTGACTGCTCCCTGGCGGGCCTGGCCAGCCTCCTAAGCAGCTGGCCAGGCTCCCGTGTGCCTCTGTCCTCCCCGTGCGGTGCTCCAGCCCCTGCCTGTGAAATGGCCACAGTCAACAGTTCCGGGCACTCCTGGGGTTCTGTCTGAGGGTCCCCACATCTGGGTGAAGGGCAGGGTCCCAGGGTCAGGTGGGAGCAGTGCAGAGGCTGGGGCAGCAGAGGGGTCAAAGGGCGACCCCAGGGAGCTGAGTGGCCAGCACACACCCAGATGGCCATCCCGTGACCCCAGAAAAGGGCCTGTCCAAGGCTGCTCTGAGGTCTCTCCAAGTGGGCAGGGCAGCATTTGGCCTCAAAGGGTGTTTTATTCATCTGCCTGATTCATCCCAGCCCTGTGGATGCTGCGAGCTCTGCTCCTCCACACTGATCCCCAGAGAGACACACTCAGGCCTTGCCCGGCCAGACAGCCTTCCTGATGGGAAAGCAATTAACCAGGCGGAGCAGCCGTGTTTCATCCTGAGACAGCAAGGCCTGGATTCTGAGTGGATGAATGGCAAGATAATCAGTCCCGAGCCCCATTACAGTCATCAGGGAGGTTGCAGTGGTCAGACCATGTGGCCAGGATGGCATCAGAAGGTTGCTGGCGTTTCTGAGAGCAGGTTGTGGTTCGCGTGCATAGTTAGCCCAGCGTCCCGCAGGGCCCGGGAGGCCTCTGACATCATCACCAGTGCAGGACTAAGAGGACCCAAAGGAAATGCTCACCACGCAGCTTGCACCAGTGCCGTGGCTCAATCGATCCATCAACTGATGCACAGATTACTGACACCTGCCATCATTTCCGAAT